AATTTGTCTTGGACCTGTCAAAGAAACAAGGTCAAAGGGCAGAGTGCCACCTGACACCTGGAGAAACAGGTGAACACAGAGTGTCACAGCTGAGATCTGCTCACCTAAAGCCAGATCCACTGGACCCAGAAACTAGTGCAGACACTTAAATGATGGCTTTGAGGAGGTGGCAGAGGCCAGGCATGGAACATGTGAGGGTGAGCATCTCCCTGGAGCTGCAGTCCTGGGGCTCTCACATTTATGGGTTTTACTTTTAGGAACCCTGCTGGGTTCTCAAAGATCCAAAAAGATCTGGGTCTGGCAGGGGAGGAGAGGAGGAATCACTGTGGAGCACAGCCAGGGCGTTCAGCACAGCAACTGCCTTTCCAGGGCAAACAGACCTTAGCAGGGCCTTATCCCACCTGGACAAAAGGCACTCCTCCCACTCCAGCCCCCTGGAGCTTTCCTGTCTCACCGCAGTGGGGGACAATATGCCACTGAAGAAACACTAGTGAAGGCCACAGGCCAAGAGGCAGACCCCATGAAAGACAGAGACTTCATTACAAGATTGTAGCATGCTCCCTTCCCACACGCTTGACTACCACATAACCAGGGTTCTATTATGGCCAGGCTGTAGCTGAGTGAGCTACCAGACATGGATTCTATTTAAGAAGGAAGACCTAGGGGAGTCCAAAGTCAAAAGAAGAGACAGACGCAAGGACATTAGGGGAATCTGAAGTCTCTGGCACCTAGAGCTACGGAAAATATTACACGTGGCCTAACTCTAGCCAGATTAAAATAAAACTTCACTCTAAATCCCCACTTTCCCCCATTCCTATTACTCAATGCATCACATATGGCTTTCAACAAAATATTGCAAGGCGTGCCAAAAGGTAAGAAAAAACCGTCTGAAGGGCAAACACAATCATCTGAACAATACTCAGATGTGGCAGAGGTTTTGGAATTACCAGGCAGAGAATGTAAAGTAATATGTTAAAGGCTCTCATGGAAGATCGGACAGCATGCAGGAACAGGTGGGTGACGTAAGCCGAGAGATGGAAGCTCTAAGAAAGAATCATAAGGAAAGGCCAGGAATTAGCTGTAACAGAACCAAAGGTGGCCTTTTCTGGGCTTATCAGTAGATGGGACAAAGCTGAAAATGAATTAGTGCATTTGACAATAGGCCAACAGAAATATCCCAAACTTCAATTTACGAAGAGAGAAAAGAATGGGGAAAATTCAGGACATCCAAGAACTGCAGGAAGAATTTTTAAAAGTGTAGCACATGCATAATTAGAATACCAGGAGAAGAAAGAGAGAAGGGAGAAGAAATATTTGCAGTAATAATGGCTGAGAACAGTCCATAGCTAATGAAAGACACCAAACCACAGATCCAGATCCAGGAAACTCAGAGATCAACAGAATAAATCTCAAGAAATCTACACCTTGGTATATCATATTCGAATGACAGAAAGCCAAAGACAGAGAGAAAATGGTGAAAGAAGCCGGAGGGTAAAACGCCTCGGTATTAGGGGGACAGAGGCGGAAGTGACACTGGACTTCTCCTCGGGATGGTGAGACGTAGTGAAACTAGCACTCGCCTCTCGGGCGTTCCCCCTGAAAACACTTACCTCTAGCCTAATCATGAAGAAACATCAGGCAAATCTTTTTTGAAGACCATTCTACAAAACACCTGACCAGTACTCACAATCATCAAAAACAAGGAAAGCCCGATAAACTGTCACCACGACGTGTCATGTGGGATCCTGCACAGGGCCCTGAGGCTGAAAAGGGACATGAGGTAAAAACCAAGGGAATGTGAATAGGCTATGGGCTTTTGTTAATAGCAGCGTGTCAATATTGGCTCACTAATTAGGACACATCTAGCAAATGAATGTAACACGTTAGCAGTAGGGAAATCCTGAGTGCAAGGAGTATACCAGTTCTCTGTAGTATCCTAGCAGGTTTTCTATAGCTTCAAAACTGTTTTAAAATAAAAAATACATTTTTCAAATATAGGAGAAAATATATTTTTATACAGATGAAAAGATGGCAAACTATTTTCAAAGAGAAATAAACATGCTCAAAAAGAAATAAAAATTCTAGAAGTGAAAATGAAATAAATGAAAAAATGTGTTTAAAGCTAAAAATCAGAAAAGCAACCCTTAGGGTAACAAGGAAGGGTGAGGCATGTGTGGGACTGGGCTGGGAGAAAGAGGCCACCTGTCCATATGGAACGAAGAGGCCCAAACAGAGCAGTGGGCAGGAGGACCCAGGCCCTGGGTCCAGTCTTGGGACCTTGACAGCATCTCCCAAGCCCCTTGGGCCTCAGGTTCCTCATCTGTGGAAAACGATAACTGGATAAGCGGGTCCTTGGGCACCCTTCCAGCTCTGACCCTGGATCATGCTAAATGGCTGCCCTGACCCACCGAGGTGTTCAAATCTTGCCATCCCTTACATTTAATTTCTCCTCCCAGGCCAAGACTTCTTTTGCTCAGTTTACCTCTCGGGGGAGCAACCATCTGCCCCCTCACCTGGGAATCAGGTATCCCCAATACTGGAGCCACCCTCAGGCCTGGTCTGCCTGGTCCTCAGGCCTGCTCAGAGCTCCCCACCTCCTGTTCACTCACCCAGGTGCTCTGGGGGTGACTTCACTTGGCTTTCCTCAAAGCCCCACTTCCATCCCTCCCGTCTCTCAGCCGTGGGCATGGTGCCTGTTCTGGTGGTGCAGGTGGTGGCAGAGGCATGGGCCAGTGAGGAGGGGCCCACGGGGGCCAGAGCTCTGCATCCAACCATCAGGAGAGGATCGCGCAGGGCAGGGCCAGCTCAGCAGGACGTGAGGTAATGGGAAACGCAGTGAGAGACTGAGGCCTGTGCCAAGCTCACGTGTGGCTCTGGATGAATGGGACTAACTGGGGGCAGAACCTGCACCTGCACCGTCCACTCCGCACCCCCTGAAAACCCGAAGTTGAGCAGAAGATGCTGGATCCCACAGCATGCGTCAGCCCCCCGCCTCCCACGCGTCAGAAGGAACTCCAAGCCCCACTGGGGTTTTGTTTTAAAACCATGGCCTTTGGGCTGTATGATGCAATTAAAGACAAGAAAGGGCAACTTTCTGAGATGACGACCAGCCTGGGAGGCCCAGCAGGTCCCCCAGCCCCAGGCCAAGGCGGAGGGTGCTTATGAGAGAACAGGCATTGCCGGCCGGCCTTCACCAAGTAGGGCCAGAATGACTCGGTGGTGGTATTTCGATAGAGCAGTGAGGCTTCTCTGGCTCCCTCTGGAGTCTGCTAAGAGACCTCGAGATCAGAGAAGAGCCTTTGCCGTTTTCCACTGAGAAGCCTGCGTTCCTGGGTGCCAACGAGTGACGCCCACAGTGACACCCCATGGAGCACATCAGTTCCCACCAGGCGCTTTCCTTGCTGTAAGTGCCACTGGTGAAGACCCGTAGGGGCCCTCTGGGGGTGTGGGAGTCCCACCTTTCTTCTGACATTGGGCTGCCATCTGTCAAGCCCAGCCTTTCCTCCTCCTTCCCACGCCTGGGCCGCTCCCTCTGGCAGGACCACACAAGGCAGGACCCTCATCCAATCCCAGCCCTGAGCCGTGGGAACCCAGGCCCGCCTCCCCGCCCCACTCTCTCAATCCATCTTCAGGGCAGCTCGGAGCCACCTGCTCTCCCCAGAAGCATCGCAGTGTGAGGAATGAAGCTTTTCACATCCTCCTGGTGTGTGTGTGTGTGTGTGTGTGTGTGTGTGTGTGTGCGCGCGCGCGCGGGGGGTGGCGGCGGGGGGAATTGCCACAGGTCTTGTTGTCTGAATCAGATTCCAGGGAGGGATCTGTGTGGTTTCTGCAGAGGTGACGACAGGGAAGCGGTTAGCAGCAGTGCCCATCACAGTCCCTAGAGACTCAGGCGCTGCAGACATGTTCTGCCACCCACACCCATGTCTGGAAACTGGTCCAGGTTTTGAGGACCAGATATTACATCTGAAACATTCTCCTATCCACTCCCCGGCTGTGTGACCCCAGAAAAAGTCACTCAACCTCTCTGGACCTCCGCTGACACCAGAAAAATACAGTCTTTGAACTAAATCAGCCTGCAGTCCCTGCCCGCCCCAGTATCCCATGGTTCCTCTTGAGTTCTGATCGACTCCAGCCCTGCCCATGGTGCTAACTCACTCCTGTGGGGAAGAGAGCTTGGACTGTGGTGGATTTGGGGGTGTAACCTGCAGGGCTGGAAGGGACCTGAGACAGCAGGGCAGAGACTCCACAGTCCCGGATCTCAGAGAGCCTGGGGAGCCCAAGGCTCCTGTCCTGGCTGTGTGACCACAGGAAGCCATGTCTGTCTCCAGGCCCCACACCCACACCTGGAGGGTCAGTGTGTGTCCAGTGCTGTGCGCACTGTGTGCCAGGAGTCAACAGAAAGCTCAGAGCAGGCTCTGGGGCCCAGCAGAACCACACAGACTTCCACCTGTGAGTTCCAGCTGGATTTTAGAAAGAGGCCGCGAGGGCACAGGGGAGTCACACAAGGTGCCAGAGCCCACAGAGCCAGCAGGCATCGAGGCTGAAGGTCAGCCCAGCCCGATTCCGGCCCTGAGCTGGATCCTTCACTACCGCCTGCCTCACTTCTGAGACATCAGAACAGGGACTCGGCTGGGGCCAGGAGCACAGAGCTGGAGCTTTCTCCATCATCCCTCCTGGCCTCGCTGGCTTGACCAAGGTCACACTGAGGAGCATGAATCCACATGCAATCCTAACAGCACGGGCGATGCCGCCTGCCCTCAGGAGACCCAAACGCACAGGCTGAGCACAGGCAGTTTCTGCAGCAGCTGCAAACCCGGCCCCAGAGAAACACAGCCTCAGATGCCCAGCTCCTGGTGGACCAAGGGGACCCCAGAGCCACTCCCAGCATGGTGCTGTAAAGACCCCTAGAGCTGGAAGGAGAAGCTGAGCCCCGTGAGGGCTGAGGGCGGTTCCCTTTGAATGGCCCTCATTTGGAGAAAGAGGCTTTAAAAACCATATAATTGGATGCAGAAGTCTATTTTTGTTAAAGCAGTTTCCATGATGTAGCAAAGAAGCACTACAGCTCTCCAGTTACAAAAGCAGCCTGGGAACAATGGGGTCACCTTAAAAAGTCGCCAAGGTACATTTCAGCGCCTGCAGCAGGCTGTGGACGACAGCGCTCAGAACACATGCTCCCAATCTGCTTTGTGTTTACCCAGGTTTACCCTCCTCCAAAACGGTGCAGAACAACGCCTGGCTCTACTGAGGCGAGGCTGCATCGCCAGCTCTTGTTATTTCCTGCTCCAAAGCAGCCTGCGGTGGAGGAACCAGGGAAACCAGGCTGTCCCGTGCGTCTCTCCCCAGGAGAGCAGCCCTTTGCTGAGCACTACAGGGCACATCCATGAGACCACACTTTTATTGAAAGCTCTGCATCTGGCTGCTGTGTTCTGCACTGAGATTGATTACAGAGCCGGACAGCTCCAGGGTGGCGGCTGTGTTCCTGGCACAGACGTGAGCTTGGGGCCACGAAGTTTAATGAACACTTTGCACCCCGTTGGCGCCTTGAAGGTTGATGCTTTCACAGGCGTCCAGGACATCTGCTGGCAGGTTTTCCAGTTCAGCATTTTTCATTTTGCAGTCCAGGCAGGAGACGGGGAGAGGTGATAAAGTGGGACCTGGGGCATCCGCCAGAGCTATGCTGATGCTCCTCTCTGCGCTCCTGGCAGAAGCCGCGGCCAAGGGGGACACTGGTCAGCCAGCCGCCACCCTGCACCCTGACAAACGGAGCTGAAGCCACAGAACACGTGGGCTGCTGTGTGGAGCTGGCACTCCTGCCGGGCTCCAGAGCTGAACGGGCAGCCCCGCCAGGCCTCTCCAACCCAGTAGCTCCGGCTCCCCAGGAGAGTTCCAGCAGCAGCGGCCAGTCAGCCTAACTCCGTCCTGGAGCACACCTGGTCTCAGATCTCTGCAGACTCACTCTCCAAGAGGAGTGCCTTGGTGGTGGGTTGAATTGATGGCATCGGGACATCACCAACAGCAACACACAGTACATCAAGTTGTGGGGAGGGCTGGTGCCTCCAACAGACTGCCCTTGTGGTCAGCACCCTGCGGTCTCTGTGGGTTCTGTCTCTCTCAGGGTCAGCGTGGCCAGGAATCATCTGCCAAGCCCTGCGCAGCACCAGCCAGATCCCCAATCTGAGTCTCAGACAGCAATGTGGAGTCCACATTTTCCTAATAACCTTAGTTCACATTGATGGCAATTGACCCTTTGGAACCTGCTTTTTATGGGGCAATGCACTTATGCAAAACCACAAAGACCAGAGGCTGCACATGTACACGTCCTGGGAGGGACCTTAGCAAAGTGTTCCCACAGTTACATCCCAGTGATGAGCAAAAAAGAGAAATTTTAACCAGAGTCGGACAAGACCGCACTCTCCTTCCACTCCAATTCCTCCCTGGCCCACATCCCCCGTGGCAGGAGGAGTCAGAGTCAGAGGAGGCAGGAGGAGCATGGAGAGTGATCATGGGCACACAAGGAGCACGGAGAGCATGGGGAGCATGAGGAGTATGTGGAGCACACGGAGCACGGAGAATATAAGGAGCACTGGAAGCACAGGGCGCACAAGGAGTATGGGGAGCATGGGAAGCATGGGGAGCATGAAGATATAAGGAGCACTGGAAGCACAGGGCACACGAGGAGTATAGGGAACATGAGGAGTACGGGGAGCACCAGGAGCACGAGGAGCAGGGGAGTACAGAGAACATGTGGAGCAGGGAGAGCATGGAGAATGCAAGGAGTCCTGGAAGCACACGGCACACAAGGAGCATGGGGAGCACAGAGCAGGGAGCACAGAGAGCAGGGGAGTGCAGGGCACTTGAGGAGCACAAGGAGCCCTGGGGTTGCCCAGGTGGGGAACATGAAGAGCACTGGAAGTTACAGCCCTGGGCACGTGTGTGGCCTCCACCACCCGGAGGGCACAACAGCTGTGGCCTTGGGGACCCTCCCCACTGGCACCAGGCAGTTCCCTATAGCCCTTGGCCCTCCTGATCCCCAGATTGTGAGGGCTGCTCATCCGCCTGGGTGACACCTTCCCAGGGCCCCACTGAACTCTGCTTCTACCTTGAGCCTCTGTGATTTGAGGTTGTGCTTTTCTCTCAAGAAGCCAGATCCTTAAAAATGAGAGGGGTTTCTTCTAAATGAGCACAAAGTTCCCTGCATTTTCCTGCCATCCTCCCTCCCTCTCTCTCTGTCTGCTTCCTGCTTCTCCGGAGCCACCTCCACCCCTTGTCACTAATGAGAACCTCCAGATGCCTGCTTCGGGCCAGGTCAGCCTCTTCAGCCCCACTTCTTAAACTCTCCGCTTTGATTCTGTGAGTTCTGAATTATTTTTGTGCTTCTTTTCTTGGTTTGCTATAACCTCTTTATGCGGACATTTTCAGTAGAGTTTCTTCTTCTCAGAAGCATTTACTCTTGTAAGACAGTTGTTTCTTCCTGTGCTGCTTGTTTCTTGAACTTAGGAAGGAATGTCTGGTCAGGATGGCTTTGATGGTCTCTGCTTTCAGGATGCCATCTGTTTCACAAAAAATGCCAACACCAGATCGAATTTCAAAACATTAAGCCATGAGAGACTTTCATTCATGCACTATTACAGATTAGATATCTAGAAAAACACCCCTGGTACAAAACACGTAAAATACTGAATAAAGTTATTTTTTTCCTGTTTTAATGCATGGCTGAGCGGGCAAGAGTGAGCAGAAGTTCAAAGAGGGAAGTGGGGTCAAGGCGAGAGGAGCCACAGCAGTCCCCTATGGCCAGGCGCATTGGATGCAGAACGGCATCAAAATCTGAGACCACGCAGGATGGAAACTGAGGCCTGAGAGTGCCACAGGGAGCCGGCACCTCCACAAGGTGAAACCCTCGATGAACAACTTAATAAAAAATGCTTATCAAGGGAGACAATAAGGAAACTTGCCTGCCTTAGCCCTGGCTCTGGGAAGGGGCAGGGAAGGACTTTTCTAATAATTCCTAACTATAAGCCCATATTCATGCAGCCTCCACATCAGAATTTATGTTTCCTGTGTGTCCTAAACTCAAGCTGAGAATGAGGCTAATAGAGGCTCCAGTTTGTCGTATTCCAAGGCATCTGGCAGCCTATGTGAGTTGTTTCTGGAAAAACCCACCCCAAGCCAGACTCATAGACTCTCCCAGATAGAACTCTATTCAACAAGAATTCCTCTTCAAAAAAATCACAGAATATACTGATAAACTACCCAACATGAGTGAGATTCACCAGAAGGCGCAAACAGCAGAATAAGACCTATGTACATTGGATACAAATTACTTTTTAAAAAATAAGTATGCTTTATATATTTACATATGGGAGGGGATATAAAAAATATGACTAAGGAACAAAAGATTACCCAAAATAATCAATCAGATTTGAAAGAGAGATAAACAGAACTTATAACGCCGTGTGTGTGTGTGTGTGTGTATAAAGAAATTATAGCTGAAATTAGAAGTGCAATGGTGTGTTTAACAGAGGATATGACACTGTTTCAGGGAGAACTAGTGAACTGGAAGACAAATCTGCAGGACAAAGAGATTTCTAAACAGGTTCAAGATAAGCGACATGAAGAACAGAGCAAAGAAGAAGAACGTTCATTTAATCTGACTTCTAGAAAAAGAAAATAGAGAAAGGCCATGTTGAAGAGATAATGGCTGAGAATTTTGAAGGGTTGATAAACCCCAAACAGGGTAAATAAAAGAAAGTCAAACTTAGACACATTTTAGTGAAATTATAGAATACAGACAAAGAGAACATCTTTAAAGTAACCATAGAGAAAAGACACAGACCTCCTGGAAAGAATGCCAGTTAGACTGACAGCAGACTTTTCAACAGAAACAACAGAGGTCAGAATAATACCTTCAAGGACTGAAAGGAAATGCTTTGACCTTGACCTCTATATCCTGCAAAGCCATTTTTCAAGAATGAGGGCTGAAGATAATTTTGTTTTTCAAAAAAGAAAAAAAAAAAGCAAGTTTACTATCAATAGATGTTTCATAAAGGAGTTTCCAAGGGCAAACTTCAGGAAGGAGAGAAAGATCCCTAAATGATAATTGAGATATCAGAAGGGACGGCAAAGAATAAAATTTGAAATTGGGAGAACTTGGCCGGGCGCGGTGGCTCAAGCCTGTAATCCCAGCACTTTGGGAGGCTGAGACGGGTGGATCACAAGGTCAGGAGATCGAGACCATACTGGCTAACCCGGTGAAACCCCGTCTCTACTAAAAAAATATATAAAAACTAGCCGGGCGCGGTGGCGGGCACCTGTAGTCCCAGCTACTCGGGAGGCTGAGGCAGGAGAATGGTGTGAACCCGGGAGGCGGAGCTTGCAGTGAGCCGAGATCGCGCCACTGCATTCCAGCTTGGGGGACAGAACCAGACTCAGTCTCAAAAAAAAAAAAAAAAAAAAAAGAAATTGGGAGAACTGGCTAGTCATATGCAGAAAATTGAAACTGGATCCTTTCCTTACACCTTATACAAAAATTAACTCAAGATAGATTAAAGACTTAAGTGTAAAACCCAAAATTATAAAAAGCCTATAAGAAAATCTAGGCAATACCATTCAGGACACAGGCATGGACAAAGACTTTATGAGGGAATTGTCAAAAGCAATTGCAACAAAAGCAAAAATTGACAAATGGGATCTAATTAAACTAAAGAGCTCTGCACAGCAAATGAAACTATCATCAGAGCAAACAGACAATCTACAGAATGGGAGAAAATTTTTGTAATCTCTCCATCTGAAAAAGGTCTAATATCCAGAATTTACAAGGAACTTAAGCAAATTTATAAGAAACAAACAACCCCATTAAAAAGTGGGCAAAGGATATGAACAGAAACTTCTCAAAAAGAGACATACATGCGGCCAAGAAACATATGAAAAAAAGGCTCAACATCACTAATCATTAGAAAAATGAAAATCAAAACCACAGTGAGATACCATCTCACACCAGTCAGAGTGGTGATTATTGAAAGGTCAAGAAACAGATGCTGGTGAGGCTGTGGAGAAATAGGAATGCTTTTACACTGTCGGTGGGAATGCAAATTAATTCAACCATTTGGAAGATGATGTGGCTATTCCTCAAAGATTTAGAACTGGAAATACTATTTGACCCAGCAATCTCATTTCTGGGCATATACCCAAAGGAATATAAATTATTCTGTTATAAAGATACATGCACATGTATATTCATTGCAGCACTATTCACAATAGCAAAAACATGGAATCAACCCAAATGCCCATCAGTGATAGACTGGATAAAGAAAATGTGGTACATATACACCATGGAATTCTACACAGCCATAAAAAGGAATGAGATCATGTACTTTGCAGGGACATGGATGAAGCCGGAAGCCATTATCCTCAGCAAATTAACGCAGGAACAGAAATCCAAACACCGCATGTTCTCACTTATAAGTGGGAGCTGAACAATGAGAACACATGGAACGACATTTATTGGGGCCTGTCCAGGAAGTGTGGGTGGGGAGAGCATTGGGGAAAAGAGCTAATGCACGCTGGTCTTAATACCTTGGTGATGGGTTGAAAGGTGCAGCAAACCACCATGGCACATGTTTACCTCTGTAACAAACCTGCACATCCTGCACGTGTAGCCCAGAACTTAAAAAAAAAGAGAGAGAGACACATGGTCAATGTCGTTAAACATTAGCTGTACGGCTGGGCACGGTGGCTCATGCCTGTAATCCCAGCACTTTGGAAGGCTGAGGCAGGCCGATCACGAGGTCAGGAGTTCAAGACCAGCCTGGCCAACATGGTGAAACCCCGTCTCTACTAAAAACACAAAAACTAGCTGGGCATGGTGGCAGGCGCCTGTAATCCCAGCTACTTGGGAGGCTGAGGCAGGAGAATTGCTTGAACCAAGGAGGTGGAGGTTGCAGTGAGCTGAGATCACATCACTGCACTCTAGCCTGGGCAACAGAGCACGACTCCATCTCAAAAACAAACAAACAAACAAAAAACTGTACAAAACAATAGAAATTAAACATTATTGGAAGTTAAAGAAAAGAAAATAGAACTAGAATACTGGACATTAACAGCATATAACTCAAGATGAGTTGATTGGAAATAAGGGAGGGAATTAAAATATACTTCTTTAAACCTCAGAATGCTCAAGTTATATTTATATTATAGTGAATGTTAGGCTAGGATTTTAGAAGCAGCTCGGTAGCATGTTCTCATATTAAATATATGCATATTCTATGACTCAGCAACTCCGTTCTTTAGGTATACCCGGTAAAAAACCTTTATTCACCAAAAAACTGTGTAAGAACTTTCATAGGACGACTCCTAATCGCCCCATACTTAAATAGTGCAAATGTCCATCCACGGCAGAATGGATGAATAGCCACGTATTCACCCCACGGCACCTTTGAGAATGAACGGAACCTCCTTACATGCAAAACCACGGCTGGATCTCACAAAGGAGCAAAGGAAGAAGCTTTTTGCACGACCCTGTTTACAGACAGCCCCAGGCAGGTCACACCCATGGAGAGTGTCAGAATTCAGAGGGGTGCTGCCCTCACTGTGGGATGGAGCAGGACCATGGAGTGGGCTGGGCCCTCCACACTCTGTGTGCTGACTCCCTAACCCAAAGTGTGACTGTCTTTAGAGACAGGGCTTTTGGGAGGTAACTGTCAAATGAGGTCATGGAGTGGCCTTAACCCTATAAAACTGGTGGCCTTATAAGAAGAGGAAGAGCTCTCTGTCTCTCCCCGCCCTCCGCATGCCAGTGAGGACAGGACTGTGAGGCAGGAGGAGGTTCCTCGCCAGAACCCAACCCTAGCAGACCTAGATCTGGGACTTCCAGCCTCCAGAAACAGAAGAAAATAAATTTCTGCTGTCTAGAAGTCCCCCAGGTGTATTTTGTTATGGCAGCCCAAGCTGACTGAGATAGATGGTGACAGGTAGGAAGACTGGGGCAGGGGCTTGTAGGTGCCAGTCATGTTCTATTTTGGGTTTGGTTACAAGCGTGGTTAACTTTGTGAAATTAAACAAGCTATAAACTTGGGATATGTATACTTTTTTTGCTATGTATGTTATACTTCAAAAAGTTTACTTTTTATTTTAGAAAAACATAAACGATCCCTGAAATATGATAAAGAGACAAATTTCCTATCTCTACATTGCTCCCATGGACCAAATTCAGAACAATTTGGGCAACAGAAAAAAAATGAAGACAATGGATTATAAAACACTGAATTTCTAAAAATCTATGCATTCCTAGAGATCCAAGAGGGGAGAGGTAGAGGAGAGAGAGGAAAAGTGTGAAAATGAATTGCAAAAATAACTATTTGAAATGCTTTCTGAAATCGTAAAACACATTCAAAATAACTCCTGGATCAAAGCGACCATAGTGGCCTGGATGTGGGACAGAGTCTAAGGAGATCACTTTGGAGCTTTATGGTTTAATGCCTGCCCTGCTTAGAGTTTTGGATTTGCATGGGGCCTGTAGCCCCTTTCTTTTGCCCAATTTCTTCCATTTGGAATGGGAGCATTTACTCAATGCCTATACCCCCATTATATCTTGGAAGTAACTAACTCTTTTTTATTTTACAGGCTCATAGCTGGAAGGGGCTTATCTTGTCTCAGATAAGACTTTGGACTGTGGACAATTCAGTTAATGCTGAAATGAGTTAAGACTCAGGGACTGTTGAGAAGGGATAATTGCATTTTGCAATGTGAGAAGGACATAAGATTTGGGAAGGGCCAGGGGTCAAATTTTGTGGTTTAGATTTGTGTACCCACCCAAATCTCATGCTGAATTGGTGAGAGGCCTGGTGGGAGGTGACTGAATCCAGGGGGCCAACTTCCTCCTTGCTGTTCTCATGACAGTGAGTGAGTTTTCATGAGATCTGAAAGTTTTAAAGTGTGTTTTACTTCCCCCTTCACTCTTTCCTGCTCCACCATGGGAAAATGTGCCTTGCTTCCCTTTCACCTTCCACCATAAGTTTCCTGAGGCCTCCCAGTAATGCTTCCTGTTAAGCCTGCAGAACTGAGTCAATTAAATCTTTTTTCTTCATAAATTACCCAGTCTCAGGTAGTTCTTTATAGCAGTGTGAAGACAGACTAATATAATTGGAAAGTACACAGAGACCTAACTTTAGGTTCATTTCCAGAAGAGGGCCTGACCTGCTGCTCAGGGGTTAGTATTTCTTTCTTAGTCTTGTCTTTCTCATGAAGACACAGGTATACACAGTTTCTCCATCTTCACATCCAACTTCACTAATGGGTCATACTTTCCTTCTATTCCAAAATTTAAGCCAAATAAAAACTAGCCAGAACATTGGGCAATTGTTCTCCAAAAGGGAAATACGTCATTTATCTCAGCAGAAAGTATAACAACTCTGTTATGAGTTTATGGGTGAATCCAGGAATTGGCTTCCCTTTGGATCACCCCTCATGGCTCTAACTCTGCCCAGAAACAGAAGGTTCAAGCCCTGGCCAACCAAAGCCAAGAGCTGCCCTCAGTCCTCATTCCTTGCTGGAAAACGGACAGCCATATCCTTTTTCACGGAGGTGCAGAGGTCAAGTTAGTCACGGCTCAGCTCAGGATGTGGTCCTGAGGACGTGACTGACAGGTGGCAATTGTTACTGATGCCTTGTTGCTGTTCTTCTCCAATGACCATTGTCAGCCTCTGATTTATTCCCAGGCACCAGCAGCCAGGCTTCAGCCATCAGCCTCACCCAGCTGAACGCAGCTCCTGCTCTTGGACAGAGGAAGGTGGGTCTCAGGAGGGCAGCCACTCAGTCCCGCAACTCGGGCCCAGGCCACTGTGCTTCCTCTGGGCAGACCACTCTGTCCCTCGGTGAGCAGAGAGCTGGCATGTTAATGTCCCACTTGGATTTACTGAATTGACTCCCATCACCCTCCTATTCCTCTCTCTGTTCCTTCCCAGGACATAGTGATGCCTGAAGGGAGAAGCCTGTTCATGCCATCTGCTCCCCAGACACCAGCTCCAGTGGCATGGATGCTGCTGCCTTCCAGGTGGCTGGGAGCCCACTCTCACGTTTGGGGGCTAATGTCTGTGGAAAGGGAGGGTGCTCAGTCCACATGGGATTTTGCTCCCCTGACACAGAGCACAAGGATGCTGTAAGCTGAGAGTGAAGTCACTGTCCACCTCCCAGAGGCCACATTGCAGGTCCAAATACAGAAAAGAGAGTGTCTTAAAGGAAGCCTTTGACTCTCTTTGGCTGAGTTTATGGAAAGGAAAACGGTGCAAGCTGTCGATGGATCTACTATTCTGGGATCTGCAAGACAGTGGCCCTCCTCTCACTGCTCCACTAGGCAGTGCTGCAGTGAGGGCTCTGTGTGGGGGCTCCAACCCCACATTTCTCCTCTGCACTGCCCTAGTAGAGGTTCTCCATGAGGGCTCTGCCCCTGCAGCAGACTTCTGCCTGGACATCCAGGCATTTCCATACCTCTTCTGAAATCTAGGCAGAAGTTCCCAGACCTCAACTCTTGACTTCTGTGCACCTGCAGGCCCCACACCATGTGGAAGTCACCAAGGCTTGGGCCTTGCACCCTCTGAAGCCATGGCCCAAGCTGTACCTTGACCTCTTTTAGCCACAGCTGGAGTTGGAGCAGCTGGGACACAGGGAAACTTGTCCTGAGACTGTACAGAGCTAGCTGGGCTGTGGGCCTGGGCCATGAAACCATTTTTCCCTCCTAGGTCTCTGAGCCTGTGATGGGTGGGGCTACTGTGAAGATCTCTGACATGCCCTGGAGATATTTTCCCATTGTCTTGATTATTAACATTTGGTTCCTCTTATGCTATGCAAATTTCCACAGCAGGCTTTAATTTCTCCCCAGAAAATGGGTTTTTCTTTTCTACCACATGGCTGGGCTGCAAATTTCCCAAACTTTTATGCTTTGCTTCCCTTTTAAATACAAGTTCCAGTTTCAGATAATCTCTTTCTTTACACATATGAGTGTACACTTTTAGAAACAGCCAGATCACCTCTTGAAAGCTTTATTGCTTAGAAATTTCTTCTGCCAAATACCCTAAATCATCTCTCTCAAGTTCAAAGTTCCACAGATCTCTAGGGCAGGGGCAAAACGTCACCAGGTTCTTTGCTAACGCATAACAGAAGTGACTTTTTCTCTAGTTTCCAATAAGTTCCTCATCTCCATCTGAGATCACCTCAGCCTGGACTTCATTGTCCGTATCATTATCAGCATTTGGGTCACAACAATTTAACAAATCCCTAAGAAGTTCCCTCATCTTTGTCTTCTTCTGAGCCCTCCACACTCTTCCAACCTTTACCTGTTACCCAGTTCCAAAGTCACTTCCATATTTTCAGGTATCACTACAGCAATGCCCACTCCTAGGTACCAATTTTCTGTATTAGCCATTCTCTCATTGCTATAAAGAACTGCCTGAGACTGGTTTGTTTATTTATTTATTTATTTAGAGATGGAGTTTCACTCCTTTTGCCCAGGCTGGAGTAGAGTAGCACGATCTTGGCTCACTGCAACCTCCACCTCCTGGGTTCAAGTGATTCTCCTGCCTCAGCTTCCTGAGTAGCTGGGATTACAGGTGTCCACCACCAGGCCCGGCTAATTTTTTGTGTTTTTAGTAGAGACAGGGTTTCATCATGTTGACCAGGCTAGTCTCAAACTCCTGACCTCAGGTGATCCACCCGCCTTGGCCTCCCAAAGTGCTGGGATTACGGGCTATAGCCACCATGCCCGGCCAAGACTGGATAATTTATAAAGAAATGATGAGCTTAATTGGCTCATGTTTCCACAGGTTGTAGAGAATATATGGCTGGTGAGGCCTCAGGAAACTTACAATCATGGTGGAAGGTGAAGGGGAAGCAGGCATGTCTTCACATGGCCACAGCAGGAGGAAGATGCAGGGAGAGGCATGTATTTTAAACCAGGAGATCTCAGGAGAACTCTATCAGAATAGCACCAAAGGAGGAAATCAGCCCCCATGATCCAATCACCTCCCACCAACCCCCACCTCCAACACTGGGGATTACAATTTGACATTAGATTTGGGTAGGGACACAAATCCAAAGCATATCAGCCTGTTTGTAGTATTCCGCTCCCTGGACATCATGAAGGCAGGTGTGAAATTCTAACACTAAATGTTGGCGATGGTCTTAAAGTACCTACCTGTTGGTTGACAAGAGCAACTTTTAAGCATTGTAAATAGAGATCTGTTGAGGATGTCACTGATGTTGTTACCCAGCACTCTCTCTAGCCCCAAACACAACTGGATATCAAGATTTATAAGTTCTTAGATGGCTGTTGAGCAGCAGAAGTTAAGATATCCCAAAAAGGCTCCTGGCTTAAGCACATTTAAAAAAAACTAACAAATCAGTGTAAAATAATATTTTGTTAGAAGGACTCATCAATAGCTAAATCAGCTGTGAGCAGATTCTCCCAGTGAAGGCATCCCTGCTCTGGCTCCAGAGGACATGAAGGCTGCGTGGGCAAAGGCCAGAAGGAGAGACTGCCAGAAAAGGCCAGGGGAGGGGCCCCCAGAGAGGAGAGGGGAGAGGTGAGGGGAGAGGTGGGGGGAGAGGTGGGGCGAGAGGTGGGGGGAGTGGTGGGGGGAGAGGTGGGGGGAGAGGTGGGGGGAGGGGGAGAGGCGTGGGGGGAGAGGGAGAGGCGTGGGGGGAGAGGCAGGCCAGAAGGGTCTGGAACAGCACTGCCAGTGCAGAGTCAGTCACTGGCCCAAGGGAAGCCCCAGGTCGCTGGGCTAGGATTGTTTCTTGGATTTGGGGTCCTGGCCTGGATTTGAGGTCCTGGGCTGGATGTGAAGTCCTGGCCTGGATTTGGGGTTGTGGCCTGGATTTGGGGTCGCCCCAGCGCCACCCATGCCCACCCAGAGCCGTGGACAACAGGACCTCAGGACAGGTCTGGACGCCGGCGAGGCTGGGGGCGCGGGCTTCGTGGACTTGGTGCGTGGGGTGGGGCCAGTTACCTGGCATCCAGGGTCCTCGGCGCGGGTGTAGACGCAGCCTCCCGCACTTGGGGCGGTCACACCCTGCCCGGCCTGGGGCAGGGCCCGAGTCCCCACGAAGCCGCCCTGAGAGCGGCCCTGACACAGCCCACAGGCTGGGGCGGGTCCCTCCGGCCTCGGGCACGCGGGGTCGCCAGGCGCAGGCGCCATCCAGCCGTTCCTCCCTTTCCGCCCGTTCCCGTCTGGTGCCTCGCGCGGCCTTCAAGTCCGTCCTCCCTGGGAAATATTCAGAGAGCGTTTCTCCAGCTGACGGCAAAAAAAAAAACACAAAGTGAGGAAAAAATAAATCTGTACAACAGGGAAGTCGAGGACGCGGGAGCACAGCGCCACGTTCCTCTGGAACCTCTCGGTGCCTGCTTTCCCCAGGAAAACGCTGTCGAGGTAGGAAAAAAAAAAAAAAAACACTAAATAAAAAACCATGTGTGGAGTGTGAAGAGCTCTGGGAAGGTTTTCGTAGAGGACACCAAGATGACAGACGCAGCAAAGCTTCAGTCATAAAGCTCGGCTGACAGGGAACGGGGAGGCCAGGGGGCCAGGAAGGGCGGGCGGGGAGCGGGCATGGCGGCCCCTGCAGGGCGGGAGGAGGAGGCTGCGGCCACGAGAACAGCTCGGACGGGGCAGAGAAAGGAGGTTTCCAGTAAAAATAATAACGCCAGAGGAAAACCATAACTCAGGTGACACAGACAGAAATTTCCAGTAATAATAATCAGGTGATAGAGAAAGGAGGCTTCCAAAACGAAGAACAAGTGCAATAGATGAGTGGTGATTTCTCATCATAAATGGCAACTCAGGAGACAGAGAAAGGTGTCCAACCCTGAACTACAACACGATTTGGAGAAAGACAGGTGCTGTCATAAAGCAGAACTCAGGGGATGGGGAAGACGGCCCCAGTCCCAAATGACAACTCAATGACAGAGAACAAAAGATCAAACTAAAGTGATAAGAGAAAAAGGGTTTCCAACCATCACACAGATGAAGAGAAAGACTGATCAAGAATAAAGTATTCGGTCATTAATATATGATAAACCCGGTGATAGAGAAAGAGGCTTAGTCATAAATTACTCAGATAATGGAGAAAAAAGCCTTATTCATATATGACTCAGGTGATACATCAAGAAAAGTTTCCTGTCATAAAGGATAACACAGCTAAAAGAGAAATAAAGGTTTTAGTAATAAGTGACAATTCATATAACAGAGAAAGAAGGCTTCTGGCCATAAGGGTAACTCATGTAATAGAAAAAAGTTTTAGTCATAAATAATAGAGAAAGAAAGGATTCTGACAGAAAATGGGAGAAATAGAAAGGTTCTAGGTAACAAATGGTAACTGAAATGATAGAGCAAGGTCACAAATAACAACTGAGGTAATAAGAAAGATTTCTAGTCATAAATAACACATCTGCTACAGAAATAAAGAGTTTTAGTCATAAATTATAGCTCAGGTGATTCATAAAGTTATGTCATAAGTGATAACTCAGGTGGTAGAAAAGGAAAGGTTTTGGTTATAAATTATGATTCAAGGGATAGAAAAACAAAGTTTTCAAGTTATAAATGATCATTTCGATGGTCAAGAAAGGTTGTCAGTCATGAATGAAAACTGGGTGAAGTTTTCCAGTCACAGGTTATAACTCAGGCAATGGACAGAGAAGGAAAGATTTTTGTCATCAGTCAACGCAGGTAAAGAAGGAAAGGTTTTTCAATAAGAAATAACTCGGTTGGGTGAAAGAAGTCTTGAGGTCATGAATGATAATTAGGTGATAGAGAAATGTTCCAGTCATAAGGGTTAAATCAGATGCTAGAGAAAGAAAGGTTTTTAGTCATAAATAGAACTCAGCTGCTAGAAAGAATACAGCTACCAGTCATAATTGCTAACTCAGGTGAGAGAAAGAAAGATTTCTGGTCAAAAATTGTAACCCAGGTGACAGAAAAGAAAGTGTCACCCACACATGACAATTCAGGTGATGAGGAAGGTTTCCAGCCACAGTGGTAACTCAGGTGCTAGGGCCTGAGTTATCATAAATGATAATTTATGATTATTATAGGTATGATTTAAAAAGTTTCAATCAAAATTAAATAACTCAGGTGACAGACAAAGGTTTTCAGTCACAAGTGATACCTCAGGTGATAAAGGTTTTAGTAAAAAATGACCCAGAGGCAGTAGGAGAAAGGTTTTAGTCATAAATGATAACTCAGGGGAGAAAGAAAGCAAGCTTCCAGTCACAGATAACTCACATGAAAGAGAAAGGTTTTAGTCATAAATCATAATTCAGATGACAGACACTCAGACCCGGAGCTGAGGCCACCACAGAGTCAGCACAGGGTCAGGGCAGGGCCCAGGGCTGCTGGTGCTGGGGCCCTGGCTGAGCCGCCGGCTGTGCGTCTCTGGGGCGGCGCCGCCCTCTAGCGGGCGAGGGAAAGGGGTCCTGCAGCAGAAACACCACAACGCGCTTCCTATCTGGGCCTGTCCGGGTCCGCCTGTCTGTCCACAGGCCTGTCTCCTCCTTCCTCCCCTCAGTCCCCAGCCTCCTCCTTCCACCTGGGTTCGAGGACCTGGGCAGCGTGGGGCGCCCCCCATCTCCTGTGAGAGAGCCCTCAGACCCCTCTTTCATTCCCTTGGGGGGCACGGGGACCCCCTGTGCATCCCATTTGTTCTCTGGCTGGCATCACTGTCCTCACTCACAGGCGGCAGTGCCAGGGGCTGGGCACTGGCTGGGAGGGCCTGGGTGCAAGTTGGTTCTGGTCCTTGGGCCCATGCATGGGGACCTGAGGGCTGCCCCCAGCACCCCCTTCTCCTGCCCCTCCTCAGGGCACATCCACCTCCCTCTCAAGGGCAGCTGCTCTGGACTCCTTCCGGAACTGCCTGGACATCCCCAGGCCACTCTGGCGGGGCCTTCCTTAAGGGCCATGGCCTCAGCAGCTGTGTCTCTGAGGTCTGAGGACATGACCTCGTCCCTGACCAGTGACCACAGGGCACAGTGGGAAAGGTGTGAATCACCCTGTGCACGCCATGGCAAATGGTGCAGATGGGGCCTTGACTGCAGTGGGAGGTGGAGGGGCTGGAAGGGAACAGGGCACAGGCGTGGCTCTGGATGGCAGCTCTTCTGAGGCCACGCTGAGGAACGGGTGCCCAGCGGTTGCCCATGGCCTTCCGTGACTGTGAGCATTGTTTACCAAATGTTTCTTTAAAGAGCCAGACTGCAGACAGTTTAGGCTTTGTGAGCCGTGACTTCTGTCAGCCCCTTGACGCTGCTGCTGTTGTTCAAACCAAGTGTGGCCGTGTCCAGAAAACTTTGCTCATGGAACCAGCTCCACCCTGGAGTCACCCAGACACCTTGGGCTGCTGCTGTGTGTCCCCACACCTGGAACAGGCCAGACTCAGGCTGAGGGCTGTAGCTCGCTGACCCTGGGTCCAGCCAATCAGGAAGGTGCTGTCCCGGGCCACAGCAGCTGGTCCAGAGACCCAAGGTGTGCATTCTGGACTCAGAGGTGGCCTGTCTAGCTTGAGGGGCTGATGCCATTCCCTTCTCTACCCCAAGATACGAGCAAGGAAGCATGGAGCCCTGGGGCTGCTGACTATCATGCATGACCATGAGCGAGGCTGGCTTGAGGATGAAGGCAGCATCGAAGGCAGAGTGGAGGGAATTGCACCTGGAAATGTCATCATCTCACCAAATAAAACATGGACGAGGGCTCCTACTACCAGCCATGAAAGTTCAGAGTCCAGACTTACCTCCCTGCCATAAAGAACCAGAAACCCAGGAGAGACACATGGAAAAGCTGTTGTAGACACTGGCAGCAGCAACAGGGCTGTGATGTGGGGGCCCTACGATCACATCACCTGGATGTGATTTGTGGAGTCTGATGCAGAGGGGCAAGCATTGCCCAGAAGCCTCTCTGGAGAGGAGGCACAGAGGTCAGAGTTCAGTAAGGACAGGGCTGCTGGAACTTGGGGGCAGAGTACCAGAGAGCCAGAAACCAGAGAGTGAGCTCCAGGCAGCGGCATGGGCCTTCGGACGAGTGGGATAAAACTCCTCAAGGCCAGGCAGAAAACAGCTCCTGGGAAAAGGATAGTTACAACTGGTCCTCAGTATCACAGGGGATTTCAGATACCAAAAGTCCATAGATGCTTAAATCCCTGCTATAAAATGGTGTAGTATTTGCTTATAACCTACACACATCCCCCCATGTACCTTATACCCCTGGGCCACACACCAGGGAGGTGAGTGGCAGGCGATGGCAGGTGAGCATTACTGCCTGAGCTCCTCCTCCTGTCAGGTCAGCAGCAGATTTTCACAGGATCATGAACCTTGTGGTGAACTGCACATGCAGGGGACCAAGGTTGGGTGCTCCTCATGAAAATCTAATGCCTGATGATCTGAGGTGGAACCGTTTCATCCTGAAACCATCCCACCATCCCCAACCCCTAGGTTGGTGGAAAAATGTCTTCCACAAAACTGGGTTCCCTGGTGCCAAAAAGGCTGGGGACTGCTGCCTTATACCATCTCTAGATTACTTCTAATACCTAACACAATGTAAATGCTATGTAAATAATTGTTACGCTATTTTAAAATTTGTATTGTTTTTTCTTGTTGCATTGCATTTTTAATTGCTTTTCCCCCAAATGTTCTCGATCGGTGGTTGGTTGAATCCACAGACACAGAACCCACAGATACAGAGGACAACTGTACCAAGAAGCAGTAAGCAAAGTGATCCACTGAGCTTACACAGGGCAGGAAGCACTCCAGGTCCTGCAGCCAGAGTCAGGAGGGCTCGGCATATACCAAGAACAAGAGTATACAAGGATCAAGAGTGGATACCCAGAGGAGCCACGTCTTGAAAGGGGGCTAAACCAGCTCCAGAGGAGAAGCTACTTGAGACTTCCCAACAAGGCTTGAAAACAAGACTTAAGGGCATACATGGACCCACAAGTAACCAAACTACCTGCTAGAACTAAGCGGAACACTCTTTAAAGGAAGACAAAACTAGCCCTCAACAATATAAGGTTTACAATGTCTGGCATCCAGTAAAAAATTACTAGATATGTGAAGTAGCAAATTGTGATATATAAACTGAAGGAAAGAAAATTCAGTCAGGAGAAATAATCCAGAAATAATAAAGATGATGAGATTAGAATACAAGGACATTACAGAGTTTAGAGAAATGCTTGTTTTATGCTCAAGGATATAAAGGAAAACACGAATGTAAGTAAAAAGGGAGATATAACAAAAAACCAAACAAGTTCTAGAAATGAAAAGTAAACTACACAAAATGAAAATCTGACAGGACAGCAGATTAGACATTGTAGAGAGAAAAAAGATTGTAAACTTGAAGACAGGAATAGAAAGTATTCACACTGGAAGCAAAGAGAAAAAAGACTAAAAATAAATGAACATTTCAATCACCTGTGTGACAAGATCAACTGGTAGTTGTTAGCCACATGTGAGCATTTCAAATGTGGCTAGCATAACAGAGAAATTGAACTTAAATTTAATTTTAATTAATTTATGCAGCTACCTGTGGTTAGTGGCTACCACATCAGACAGTATAGTCTTAGAGCAACCGAAATAATACAACAAGATACATAGGAAGTAAATCCATAGTAGAGATAAAATGGAATACTTCAAAATATTCAATTAATACAGAAGGCAGGAAAAGAGGTAACAAAGAACAATGAATAGCAAAAATGGTGAATACTCTAAATAAAGGCAGTCTGTCAGACTGGATAAAAATATGAGACCCAACTATATGCTAACTACCACAAACTCACTTAAAATATAAAAGCAGATAGGTTAAAAGTCAAAGGATGGAAAATGAGATACCACGTAAATGCTAATCAAAGCCAGCATGGCTAACCTAGTATGGAAGTAGACATTAGAACAAGGGATAAAAGAGGAAATCCCTTGATAAAGCACCAATTTACAATGAAGACAATAGTCCCACATGTTTACGACCCGACTGCTCCAAAATACAGTGTAGGAGCCGATGGTGCTGAAAGAAGACAGGCAAATCCACGCTCACAGTGGAGGTTCCAACACTTCTGTCCTAGCAGTTGACAGAGTACGGGGAAGAAAATCAGTGACAGGTCATGACACCCGACTGGCATGTAGGAACCACTGTGCCCGACGGCAGGAGGTGCATTCTTTCCAGAGCACACCACATGCTGAGC